ATTGGGTTTGGAACAACTTTGACATTGTTTTCCACCAAGTAATTCATTACCTTATGACTTTGTGAACTCTTGAATTATCAAAATGAATTGCAAACTTTTGTTTTTTGTTGTTTGGATTCTCAAACTCATCAGAATTGATAATTTGAGTAAGAACATTGTCAATTAGATACTGAGCATTCATCGTATTAGGTTTATGAAGAATATCAATTGCGATGATGCCATTCACGCCCCAAAAAACCGACAACATCATCATTGGTGTGTTAATTTTTTTCTTCGGGAATGTTTTGCGGATTTTCATCCTTCGGGATCCACATGATTTTGGCTTTCTGGTTGCATATTGAAACCAAGACTCGTCCCCTGTTACTAAAAAGCGAAACTTCTTGGATTGATACGCACCCAATATAGAGAGGAGCTCTTTCGAAGATTGGACTCTAGATTTTTTTTGAACTGAATTAAGGTTGTGCGGAACCCAACGTGTATACGCTAGTTTGTAGTTCAAATAATTGTGCAGATAATAACTGACTGTTGTAGCGTGGTATCTTTGTCATCTCCTCTATCCTTCTGAGTGATGCTCTTGGGTCTTCATCTAGCGCTTGAAGAATTGCTTTGATTTTTCTTTGATCCGCGATTTTTTGTCAATTTTTATGATGGGCGCCTTTTTGTTCATGAAGTGATACATCCTAACATGATACGTTACAGTGGAATAGCTAGGAGCTCCATACCGAAGCATTTTACCAATGTCTCGTAGATTTTTTTACAGTCTTGCATTTTTTTGGCAAGAGCGAGGATGTTTTCTTTATGATTCATTAAAAAAAATGAAAAAAATCCCGCAAAATTTCCCGCGAAACCGCCTCTTTGTCTAAAAATTCATTTTATATACCGGCATGGCGCCAAAATACAACATACTCATATATACATATATTCATATTTTTATTATATATTTATAATCAGCATATATCTCCTTTAATAGTCTCATATAGAGCGCTGTGCTAAACGCACCTTTGGACACCCTATATTATATTGTAAACCTCCTAACTTTCCACAAGGTTTAACATCGGATGACGACATAACGACGATGAGAAACATTAGATGTAAAGATGTTTATGTCATGAAAGGATGAATATAATATTAAATTCACTGCTCAAGATTTATATGACAAGAAAGCAGACAAAACAGAGCTTCAAACATTAAAGACAGAAATACTTCAAACATTATATCCTATAGGCTCTATTTATACGTCAATGAACTCAACAAATCCAGAAACAGTTCTGGGTTTTGGAACTTGGACTCAAATAGTCGACAGGTTTTTGTATTGTGCAAACTCTTCAAAGGAAACAGGTGGAAGTAAAACGATTTCAGGTGAAAATTTTACCTGCACATAGTCACTACATAGATTTAAGTACATCTCAAGCAGGTTGGCATAAGCATAGATATTGGGATTGGTCAGCAATGACAAAAGGTAAAGGATATGATGTTAAAGACAACGTTAAGTTTGCTATAGATTGTTACTGGAGTAACACTGAGGGAGGAGGAAACCATACACATCGCGTTTCAGGATATACGCAAACAACGGGACAAAGTAAAGACTACATGCCACCTTACATGACAGTTTACGCATGGTATAGAAATGCTTAGTCGTCATTTTCAACTTCTTTAGCATATTCGTCAGGAGTTGTCTTATATTTGTTAGAAACTGTCTTTGAAAGTATACCACCTTGAACTTTGACAAGTTTGAAACGAGGTCTGACAATAGTAGTTTTATCTTCTGCTTGCAGTCTGTACATTTTGCCATGTTTGCCTAAAACTTCATAATATTCTCTTGTATACTTTCTTCTATTTTTACGAACACGAATGTGAGTACCTGTCGGGTTCCCATTGTTGTCATAGTCAATAGTATTTTCATATGGGTCGCGTTTAGGTATTTCTATTTTTTACTTTGTCACCTTTCTGAAGTTTGAAGCCCGGCATTATTTCTTGTTTGTCTCTTTTGACTAAATTATTAAATATATAGTCTTTCTCTAAGTCAGGGTTGTTTTTCATTTCTTCGGGGGAGTGGTTTCCCAAACCTTTTTGTTTACGGCTATTGTAAATATTTAAAACTTGTCTCATCTTTGCCATGGAGAAGTGTCTATATTTGTCGTCATATGACATTTCATTTGCTTCACCACCTTGTGGTTGGTTTAAGTCTCTTAACATTTTTATACAACCGTCAATGACACCAAGAGCAGAATGGTTTTGGTCGACAATGAAATATTGGTTTACATTTTTTGAACGCAGATAGTTTTTTACATCATCTGATTTGAAAGAACTTTCACAGTCAGATGTCAGTTTTGTTGGATGGTATTTGTCAACGAATATTGTCAAAGCAGTTTTCACATCTAAAATATTTTTGGACCATAATGGTATGGCTTCACAGTATCTTTTGTGTTTTGACCAACAAATATTAGCCAGTATGGTGGTCCATCTGTTCTAACTCTCGAATGTTTTCCAAGATATCCATAAACCAAGCATTTGGTGTTGAACTAAAGATTTTTATCATGAGTGCTTTTTTTGTCGCTTTAGAAACATAGGGGTCCTTGTTTGGATTCGTCATTTTTTATCCTATAAGAAATGGGTTTATTTGGCGCATTAGCAGGAGTTGCATCCAGATTTTTACCCGCAGTGGGAACAATAGCCAGAGGTGTATTTGGAGTTGGAAGGAAGATTTTGAGTACATTAGGTATACTTAAAGAGAAAGCACAACCTATTATACAAACTGTACAGAAAGGTTGGGATGTAGCACGAGATGCAACAAATCTTATTCCAAATCCTGAAACAAGAGGAAAAGTTCAAGGATGGATGGACAATGTAGGAAGACAAGCAGGAAACTATTATAACAAAGCAAATGACTACTATAACCAAGCAGGGCACTATATGGACCAAGGTGAAAGATTCTTTAACAGAGGATATAACCATGCACAACAATGGGTAAACAATAACCAACCTCAACCGCCTCAAACGTGGGGAATGTAAAGTTTTTTACTGAGATGAAATGAACAATACAGCATTGAGACAAATGGGTTCAAGATGGATTTGTCGGCTTCCAGCAGTTACACCACGTGTTTGTCAAGTTCTTCTATACCTCAGGAAGTTTTAGACCGACTTAAAAAACAACAACAACCAGTTGAAAAACAAACCAAACTAAAATTTTTTACTGAGATGAAATGACCGAAGAAGTTGAAACGGTAGATTTGACACCACAAACAAAAAGTTCAGAACCATTGTCAAAACCCGTCAAAGAACTTACAGATGAAGAGAAAAATTCAATAATAGAAAGTGCCAGGTCTGGAAATACAAACCCTAACTACAAAGTCACTTTTCATAAAAATGGAACGGCTAGTATCTCAAAAAAGAAACAGACTCTCACAAATAAAATATTGAAGTCTGAAGGAGCTTTCGAGACAACAGATGGAAAAGTTTACTTCACTGACCAACAGTTCATTATAGAACATCTCATTGACTTAGAGTCGAAATATTCTAAACTTTACAACAAACACAAAAAGTTGAAAGGAAAACAAAAACAAATGGCATATGATATTTATGAAGATGTTGACGACACAACTGTTCCTGCAAGTGAAGTAAAGTCAGAGAAACCGAAAAGTGACGAAAAACCGATAGAAGAAGAAAAACCAAAAACTGAAGATAAACCAAAACCAAAGTTTAGTTTGGAAACTAAACCAAGTCAACCTTCATTAGCTGGTATGGGTTGGCGTCAAAGACTTATGGCAGCAGGCGGTTATGTTAAGTAAAGAAAAAAATATTTTTTTATTTTTATAAAAATGCCCCCATATAGAATGGATAGAAAATCTGCTAGAATAAAAGCAGAGTTGGGAAACTTGTTTGTTAGATGAGAAATATGAAATGGCATACCATTTTAAAACAATATATTTTTACATATATTAAATGCTTCAGGTTGAAAAACAAAGAACAAAAGTAGTAGATACAAAACCGTTAGACTATATCTTTACAAATGCTGGTAGGACTATTTCAGATGAAGAAATTTCATCCCGAGCATACAGGTTTGACTATCCAATTCGTTGGCTTCAAAGTCCTTCAGATTCAAAGGCAATAGGATTTAGAAGAGTTTTGTTTTCAAATAGAACTAACGCATTTATGTTCGCAGTATATTTTCATGGGCAGTATAAAGGTTCTGATGGTCTAATAGACAAATTTGACGAAATGAGAATCTTTACAGTTCGTTCAGACGAAAGTCTTGAGAAAACTCTAAATGACTTTCAAACTCAAATGAACAAATATTATTGGGAATTTCAAGAAAAATACGACTCTTTACTAAATGGAACATACTATCTGAAACTAGAATATGACAAGATGAACTCCACCGTTTCATTTCAAAAGATTGAAATTAACCCTCCAAGAGATACAGAGTTTTTATTTTGGAAAGTAGACAAACGTTCTTGGGCACAATTTCTTCGGTTACTAAACCAGAACGAACCATTACCACCAGATGGTCCATTTAAATTTATACTTCCACCAGCAGATTTGACAGTTTATAGAAACGTGTTTGACCCTCAAAATGTTATGTGTCATGCAAGTTTCAGTTCAAGCAACAATAGTTTTCTATGTATTGGTAAGGACTTTTATGACTTTGCTTCTAAATTCTACGAACCACCTAGTAACAGTTTCTCTGACTTTCAAGTTTGGTTCACAACAAATGGTGTGCAACATATTATTCCATTGTACTATGACTTTTATCTCGAATTGTCTTTCATATATAACTACGGAAAAGTGCTGAAAAAGTATTGAATGTGAAGATATTAGAAAATAACATTTTTTCTAACATCGTAGAAAACTCATGAAAACAATTTATTTTTGACACTTTCACAAAAAACATAAAAAAGTGCAGTTAAACGTTAAGGTTTACTGAACTGGTTGGATGTCGCCTTCACAGGTTATGTAGAATGGTTGTCCTGAGAAGCGAAGGAGAGACTGAATTGCCAATTTCATATGGGTAGGGGGTTCTCCTTGTTTGGAAGTAGTATCCAAGGACGCTTGGCAAAGAACTTTATAATGGCTTCCTTCTTTGCTTGCTTTATGTCGTCGTAGGCTGTCCCGTCTGGTATTTGAATTGGAATTTCGGTTTCAATTTCGATTTTCAGCGCACCTCTTCCAGACAACCAGCAGCCGAGGGACTTGTTGGCTTTGTCCTTGCCCAAGTACTGCTTAACAACTTCATTTATCTCTATAAGGTAAATTGCCTCATCTAATGGCTCGATGTTGTCCATTGTTCTGTTTCAGAACTAGTCTTGTACTTTTTCAGAACAATACTTGTACTGTTTCAGAACTAGTCTTGTACTGTTTCAGAACAATACTTGTACTTTTTCAGAACAATACTTGTCCTTTTTCAGAACAAATTTCCCGTAAAAGCTCTCAATTTGTGAGAAAAATTTTCTGTTTCAGAACAATACTTGTACTTTTTCAGAACAATACTTGTACTGTTTCAGAACAATATTTGTACTGTTTCAGAACAATATTTGTACTGTTTCAGAACAATATTTGTACTGTTTCAGAACAATATTTGTACTGCTTCAGAACAATATTTGTACTGCTTCAGAACAATATTTGTACTGTTTCAGAACAATGTCCGACGTACCACCAACCCAGTCCATTCCCAAACCAGAGGAACCTAAAGCACCAGCCCCTGCACCTCAGTTCCAGCAAGTACCTCCGAATTACTACCAATTTCCACCTCAAGGTTACTACCCACCACAAGGCTTCCCGAACTACCCTCCTCAGCCTATGCCTTACTTCCCCAACCCTTGGATGTTCCAGCAAGCTCCACCCCAGCAATTCCAATCTCAATCCAAATCGAAGAGAGACCAAGAGTTCGAAGAAGGTCTGAACCGTTTACGCAAAGAGTATGCCACAGCTCCAATTGAGAGAAAGTTGTTCCCGGACCAAAAATAATGTTTAGGGTAGAAGGTTAGATCTCACCTGTTTTTTCACCTCTTTTCTAACCTCTTGAATTTTCATGACTTCATCGTAAATGTTTTGTCAAACATGAACGTAAATGTTTTGTCATGATTTCATCGTAAATGTTTTGTCAAAACTTCTTCGTAAATGTTTTGTCAAACATGAACGTACATGTTTTGTCAAGACTTCTTCATCGTAATGAGTGTAAAGGACCCAAAAATATAATTTAGGTGAAGAAGTGAGATCTCACCTGTTTTTTCACCTGTTTTTTCACCTCTTGAATTTTCATGAATTTTCCCGAAATAAAAAATAAAGTTAGTTTTATTTTGTATTTTTTTGTATGTAAGATATGATTTCAGGGATTTTTTTGACGAAGTGTCAATGTTCACTTCGTCAAAAAATAACAGTTATCTAATGAAAAAGTGTCATTTTATTTTTTTATTTTGTATGTAAGATATGATTTCAGGGATTTTTTTGACGAAGTGTCAATGTTCACTTCGTCAAAAAATAACAGTTATCTAATGAAAAAGTGTCAAGACTTCTTCGTATATGTTTTGTCATGACTTCATCGTACATGTTTTGTCAAACATGAACGTACATGTTTTGTCAAGACTTCTTCATCGTAATGAGTGTAAAGGACCCAAAAATATAATTTAGGTGAAGAAGTGAGATCTCACCTGTTTTTTCACCTCTTTTTTTCACCTCTTGAATTTTCATGAATTTTCCCGAAATAAAAAATAAAGTTAGTTTTATTTTTTTTATTTTTTTTATTTTGTATAAAAAAATAAAAATGTCAACAATCGGCACAACAACACTTCAAACAACTACAGCACCAAACTCGTTAGTCATGAATCCAACATCTATGTTGGTAGAGATGAAAAGCTTCATTCCTTCTTCATATACTTTCGAAACAAAAATCCAGAAGATAAAGCAAGAACTTTTAACAAGTAATTTAGACTGTAGTGCGAAAGATGAAACAAATGAACAGTATCTTTATGAAATGGAGGACCTCATCGACCATTTACCCAAATTGCCTGAAATCCAACAACAAAAACTCACTATTCCTGAATTCGATGAAATAGAAGTGAAACCAACTGACTCAGTAGACATAAAGAAGTTCATACGAAAGGTAAACTATGAGTTTCTAGGATTTCATTGCAACCATAAGGTTATGGACAAAGATTGCGACATGGTATATAAGAACATCTCTGACATATATAAATCTGAAGAATTTAAGACCTACGACAACTTTGTTTCGTTAGTTGCTGAATGTGTATGGCAGATAAGAGATGAAGATAGAAGAGGTAAAGTATGGAATAAACAGATAAAACCAGCAACTTTTGAGATGAAGAGAGCAATTGACGCTTTAGTTGTTTTAGCAGGTAAGGTTTCAGAATATAACGCAAAAATGAACCCGCAATGTTCAAAATGTAAGGCAGCAATGAGGAAATATAACTACTCCGTCAAAGAGATAGAAAGAATGAGAAACGACTATGCAGACTTAAAGAAAGAAGCAGAAAAGCCAGCAGAAGATAAAATGGACATGTTAGCATTTCTGAACAAAAACTATCCAACAGCAGAAGATTTCCTTCTATCTGACGTCAAGAAGAAATATAAAGAAACCTTCGGCATTGTTAAAACATTCGATGTACTAAAAGAAGAAATAGAGGCTACAAAACTGTTTAGGATTTCAAATATACATCGTACAATTCATGTAAAACGCTTGTGAAAAAACAGGTGAAAAAAGAGGTGAGATCGCACCACTTCACCTAAAATATATTTTTACTGAAAAATGACCAAATTTCATGAATTTCCTTAAGACAGAAAAAATAAAGTTAGTTTTATTTTTATTTATTTTTTTATTTTGTATGTAAGAACAGAAATGACAAACATTGAGTTTGAAACAGTTAGAAAGATAGACAATGACACCAAATTGGTTAGAATAGGTGATTTAAACGTAAGATACTCAAAGAAATACAACAAATATTCTTTGTCAGACATTTTATCTCCATCTGGAAAGAAAACATACCATTGGGTTGGAATTGCTTCTACTCAGAAAATTTTGACAAGAAATCCTGAGCTTATGATATCGGTAAAATTCTATGGAACTGCAGCATATCTTATAGACAAAAGTCTTATACCAATAGTTTTGTTATGGTTAGACCCAGTTGTTGGATATAACTTCATAACATATGGTTCATTCGATACGGAACGTTGCAGTGAAGGCTTACTTTACATCGTTCAGAAACCGAAGGACTTCAATACAAAGAGATATAAGATAGGAAGAACATATAATATAACTCAAAGATATGACAGTACAGTCAATAGAGTCAAGGTTGTGTTTGCTAATGATATGAGAGCTGCTGAAACAGAACTGCTTGAAGTTTTTGAGAAAATATATGGTGCTCCCACGAAAGGTAAAGAAACGTTTGAAGTAGATGAGATAGATAAAGCTATAAAATTATTTGACGAAGTTGCTGAAAAATACATGTAAAGCGTTTATTTTTGGTCTTTTGTGAAAGTCAGAAAATAAAGTTAGTTTTATTTTTTTATTTTGTATAAAAGATATGATTTCAGGGATTTTTTTGACGAAGTGTCAATGTTCACTTCGTCAAAAAATAACAGTTATCTAATGAAAAAGTGTCATTTTATTTTTTTATTTTGTATGTAAGATATGATTTCAGGGATTTTTTTGACGAAGTGTCAATGTTCACTTCGTCAAAAAATAACAGTTATCTAATGAAAAAGTGTCATTTTATTTTTTTATTTTGTATGTAAGATATGATTTCAGGGATTTTTTTGACGAAGTGTCAATGTTCACTTCGTCAAAAAATAACGCTTACCATGTAAAACGCTTGTGAAAAAAAGAGGTGAAAAATTAGGTGAAAAAACAGGTGAGATCTCACCTCTTCACCTAAACATTATTTTTGCTGAAAAATGACCAAATTTCATGAATTTCCTCATATGCTTGCTTCCCTCGGAAAACCAAGAGAAGAGATTCCGTATGAAAACAGTGAAGCACAGCGAGTAGGTAAGAAACCTTAGTCGCCAAAACTCTATGAAAACAGTGAAGAACAGCGAGACCGACTTTTTTCTGGGTCGCCAAAACTCATGAAAATCATGAATTTCCTTAAGATAGAAAAAATAACGCTAATTTTTTTATAAAATATTTTTTTATTTTGTATGTAAAGACAGATATGTCAACAACAGAGAACACAACAACTGCTATCGTTCATGAAGCCATAAATGAAGAATATGAGTGGGTTCAGTTTAACAAACAACTCCGTCTCATTCGTTCGGTCAAAGACGATATGTACCAGATGCAAAGTATTTTGACAGCATGTTTTGCTCCAGATACTAAACACGCAGACGACTGGTTCAAAAACCAAAGCACACAAGAACTTTTGAGTGAAATTTCTCTAGACCGACTTTTTTCGGCCATGCATAAAACACATGAAAATCGTAAAAATTTGCCAATAAATTTAAGAGGATATTATGTACATAGACTTTTAGTAAATGCAGTTGCAATGTGGGCTTCTCCTCGTTATGCATGGCATGTTTACAGACTTCTTGACGAAATTCATAGACAAGAACGTGAAGAGATGGAAAAGAAACTTCAAGCAAAAGATGAAGTCATTGAAGCAAAAGATGAAGTCATTGAAGCAAAAGATGAAGTCATTGAAGCAAAAGACAAAAACATTCAGAAAAGAATACCACGTTCGGTACCAAAAGGTAAGGAAAAGAACTATAAGTATATGATTTATACTGAAGAGATGGAAAATGAAGAAGATAAAGATATGGTTATGTTGCATTTAGTCAGAAGAAACAACAAAAGCTTTTACGACCTTGCTAAGATTTACAAATCTGACAGAAATTGGTTCTATCGCGAAAACTTACCGATTTCATGACACCGAATGAAGATGTGAAACAAATAGTTCAAGATACGTTACCTCAAACACACTATGATATTAAAGGTTGTACAATACTTACCTTCAAAGAAGACTTACCGCTACTGAAGGAAAAAATAACAGAGTATTTTGACAACTTCAAACAAGTAGAGTAGATGAACCATTTATTTTTCAAGCTTGACTTTTTACAATTTGAACTTTGTTGCTGAATTCAGTAAAAATATAATTTAGGGTAGAAGGTTAGATCCAACCTGTTTTCTCACCTGTTTTCTACCCTCTTGAATTTTCATGAATTTTATATATATTAATGTTTTCGTTATGCCACTTTGTGCCGTCAGTCAGTCAGTCAGTTTAGGAAATTTACACCAAAAAATAAAGTTTAGGTGAAGTGGTGCGATCTCACCTGTTTTTTCACCTCTTTTTTCACCTCTTGAATTTTCATGAATTTTCCCGAAATAAAAAATAAAGTTAGTTTTATTTTTTTTTATTTTTTTATTTTTTTTAGAATTTCTGAACAAAAACTATCCAACAGCAGAAGATTTCCTTCTATCTGACGTCAAGAAGAAGTATAAAGAAACTTTCGGTATCGTTAAAACATTCGATGTACTAAAAGAAGAAATAGAAGCTACGAAACTGTTTAGAGTCTCACGAATTCATAACGTTTACCATGTAAAACGCTTATAAAATAACTGGGGTAGAAAAGAGGTGAAAAAACAGGTGAGATCGCACCACTTCACCTAAACTTTATTTTTGCTGAATTCCGTATGAAAATTCTGAGTAAAATAATTTTTAGGGCATGTGTCAAACCGTTGAGTTTTCACAAAATTTAAAAAATAACGTTTACCATGTAAAACGCTTATAAAATAACAGAGTATTTTGACAACTTCAAACAAGTAGGGTAAATGAACTCTTTATTTTTCAAGCTTGACTTTTTACAATTTGAACTTTGTTTGCGTAGATATGAATTCTGAAAGAAGTATGAGGGTCTTGTATGACTTTGTACTTCTCCCATAGTTCATGTCTGTCAAACTTACCTGCCATGGACTCTTTCATAAGTTCCATGAAATCGTCTTCGGACAATCCGGGGAAAAGTATAATGTCAGTAAGTATTCTTTTAACATCCTTACTTAAACTCTTTGCTGTCTGTACACATATTACGACTGAAATGTTAAAGTGCCTAAGTTTCTTAAGAATTCGACACATGTCTTGTTCTCTATTCTTTAACAAAGGATGAGAGGCGAAATCATCTAAGATAAGAAGACATCTATGAGGGTACGTTTTCCAATCGTAAGATTGCAATTTCTTCGAAATGTATTCTATCTCTTTCTGTTTGTTTCTGAAGTGTTTCTTCTCTAATATTCTCTGCATTTCCTCATTTGGGTCTTTAAACTTCGAATTTATATACTCATTTATAGCATTGTACTTCAAAACCCTTCTTTGGTACTTCTTTATCCAATCTAACAACTCAGTATCCTTTATACATACTAACTTAGACTTCTTTATAATATCTTTGAACGAATTGACGGTTTGGTCAAATTGACCAGAAGTACTACAAATGACAACTAACTCATAGAATGGGTTCTTCTCATCTAGTTCTTGTTGTTGTGCAGCCATTTTAAGATAAGTGAAAGTCTTACCCGACCCAGGTGGTGCAATTAGACCTGTTATACCATTCTGAGCAAATAAGAACTTGTCATGTATGGGTTTTATCTGAGCATTTTCTAACTTCCTCTTGTTCTTGTTTAAAACATTCTCAAATTTCTTGTCAATGTCAGCAAACTTTTTTTCTAACATATTTTTAGAAAAATTAAAATTTTTATCTTTTAGAAAATGTCTAGCGATTTCGCTATCTATATTCGAGACAAGCTTTTCGACAGCAAAACATCTGTCGACCATAAAATCTTACATAGTGTAAACAAGAAAGGTGAATTTGTTCTAAAGTTCTGTTTCTGGGAATATGACAAGAACCATAAAACATTAAGCAGAGAAGTCTTAAAATTTGTCAATGACAGACTTGTTGACAGAGATGACGCCTCTTGGAGAGATGAAGTCCAACAAAACTTCTTAGAATGCAAAGAAGACACATGCGCCGTTCTTGAAGATGAAATAGAAAACAGAATAGAAGAGCTATTAAAGGACAAAGAACTTTTGCATAAATATAGTTGCGCCAAATTTGACATAACTCCACCAGAAAAGAAGAAGAAAGAAAAGAAAGAAAAGAAAGTAGAAGAAGAGAAGAAAGAACCTGAACCAGTTCCAGAGAAAAAGAAATTTGACATGTAAAAATAAAATTTTATTTTTAGAACATTTCTGGGTCAATGTCAATGTTCTCTTCCTCTTTAGGAGTAAACACTGGCTTAGACTCTAAAATCTTTTTACCCAATTTACCTTGAACTTCAACTATCTTAGACTCATAATATTCATAGTCGTCTGCTTTCTTTGGTTCATAAGGTATAACAAGTTTGTATGCTTTGCCTTCTTTAAGGTTTGAGAACCTTCTGTCAAAACTTTCTTTGACTGCTAACAAACCTTCTATGTCTAAGTCTTCAAATTTCGCACCATTTTTAGTCACAATAGCAAACTTAACTGGTTCGATGTTCCAAACTTTGCTGAATGAAGACTTTTCAAAATGGTAGAAGTAAACATTCAAATATGTGAATGGGTCTAGTTCTTCTTTAAGTCCTGACATGTACTTGTTTACTGAGATGAATTTTGCCATCTTTTCTATCGGATAAAAAAATATTTTTTTTTAAAATTTACTCATAAAAATTTTTCTTTGTATATACACCTTTCTGTACGTCTAAAAGACTTTTGACATTTGCCAAGAATGTTCGTTTAGACGCTGTAATATAACCATATTCTTGACAATATTGTTTATACGAATCGTACAATGACCTTTCATCTAAACACTCAAAGTCAGTTTCATCTATGAACAGTTCATATACACTCTTGTTTGCTTCTAACAATGTTTGTCTCTCTTCGGTATGTGGAATTTGTCTTGGATTGAACTTTGAAATATCTAATGTCATAAAATATGAGAACAAGTGGTTGTAAAAGTCAGATGTCAAAGTTTCTGCTAAGTCGTCAAAATATTCTGTATCTTGCATATGAGCTTCTGACGTTCTGACAACTACATATCTTCTGTCAGAACTTTCTAACTTCATCGGAACAGTATTGTTTGAAACCATAATGAAGTTTGCAACATTTTCACAAACTCTTTGGTCTTTATATTTTCTTTCAACAACTCCAACTTTGTCTGTTATAAGACTCTTCAAAGCATCTGAGTTCAAAACTTTTGTTGTATCTATACTTTGAAGTTCATTGCAAACTATAAGTTTCATATTCTCTATTGAGGAGTTAAACTTGCCACAGATGTTTTCTAAGTTTGTCATATTCGGATTCGAATAGCCCTCTAACAGTTTGCACAAAATATCTGTAAAGAATGTGTTCTTACCAGTTCCTTGTTTTCCAATTATAATGAGAGCAGTTTCATTTTTAGCACTTGGATGTTGTAAGATGTTTGCAAACCAACATAAGATATACTCATAGACTCTTTCGTTTCCATTGCATATAATTTCTTTGACATGGTCTAACCAAGCTTCTATAATATTTTCTTTCCATTCTACTTGTTCATATTTATATCCAGTGAAGATAGAATAGAAGTTTGGAGAAGGTGTATAGAACTTTATACCTCGAACTGAAAAATCTTCTAACTTTGACAATAAGATATCCCAAGCATCTAACATCTTCATGCCAACTTGTACGACTTTTATTTTCTTAAGTTTCTGTCTACATTCTTGTTCTGAAACTATTGTTGCTCTTGGTTTGTTAAAGACAACATCCCATTCTTTCATGACATAACATTCTGGGGCAGAGTCAACATAAATGACTAAACGTTTCAAATTCTCGACTGCTTTGTTATAGTCTCGAAATGGACACATATTTCTGAATGCTTGGAAGTCATAAAAATCTGAAACATCTATTCTGTACATTTTTATAAAAATAAAAAAAATATTTTTTTTATTCTTGACTTTGTTGTTGCATTTGTTGCATTTGTTGTTCTTGAGCTATTTGTTGTTGAAGTTGTTCTTGTAATACAATACTTTCACCAGTTGCATCTTCCAATTCGAAACTTTCTGCCGTCATTGACAAATACATAGGACATAAAAGTTTTACAGGAACAAAGTTTGCGTCAACTAATGTCAACGTTATACTTGCCAAAGTGTTTGAGTTCACTAAGGTTGAAAATTCTGCATTCGAATGAACAATAGGCAAACCAGCAGAGAAAGTATTGTTTATACGCATAAGTATCTTTTGGTCATAATAGTTTCTGTCGACATTCGAATAACACTTTGAACCTAAGTTTGAAACAATATATAAGATTGGTGTGCTTAATGTCAATGGAATAGACATTCCTTGTATGACACCTTTTCCTGTTATAGGAAACTGTTGGTAGTAAAAACCAGAAATAAGTTTTGTATTATAGCTCATATCGTTTATAGTAAACTCAGTCGGACATCCAAACATAATGAAACCTGCTCTAGTTGCAGCACATGTTACACCCGTCCTTAAAGTATTAAATAAGTCAACAAAACCTGTTGGTGGTATATCTGAGTAAGTATCTTCAAAGGAGTATTTTTTACCATTCACAACAATAAAGTCTTCTGGTGTCAAAAGAGCAAAACAGGCTTTAGTCGTCATTGTGTTTAAGGTTAGTTTACAATATCGTCCTTGAGGACTTTGTAAGTTTGTTGTTATAGAATTATATGACTCAGGGTTTTTAGTCGTAATAGTATAAACCATTATATCTTCTGCCATTTATATATATTTAAAAGTTTTTCTGAAAGTGGAGAAGAACTTCATCTAAACTTTCACATGGCGTTTCTTGAAGTTCTCTGTCTAAGAAGTTCAAATATTTTGTAAAGACATAGAACTTTCCTTTGTCTACACGAACAAACAAAACAGGGTCTTTCATATCGTTCAAAAGTGTGTAAAGTCCTTTACATGAAATAAAGTCTATATTATTTTTCTTCAAACATCTTTCAAGAAGTTTTGACATTTTTACTTAGCAAATAAATTTTAATGAAATGTTGTGGTCGTCAAATATTTTTATGACGTCTGGGAAACTATACTTTAAGTTCAACGTTTCACCTCCTTTCATAACGTATATCTTGTCAATGACATTATATGAAACACCACAGCAACTAATGTCGGGTTCTATTTCTTTGATGTTTATATCGTCTGCCTCTGTCAAAAGTTTCAATAGTTCTTTCAAAACTTCATGAGGTGCAATGACATATGAGTTCACTTTTACAGGGTTGTGTTCGACCAAGTTTAACATTATACCTAAAGCTTGACAAATCTTCTCCTGAGTTTGAAGTTTGTCTTTCAGTTGTTGGTAGTCGTTTCGAATATCTGCAACAGAACTTAAGTCTCTGCTAACTTCAGGATATGTTGGTTCTTTTACAGGAACAATTGTTATACCATCTTCGTCTTCGTATGGTTTCCCCACTTCAACATCTCTGTCTTTGACATTGACAATAACACTTTGACTGTTTGTTTGAGTTGGTGAATTTAACTTCACATCTGCCACCGCCATTAAACCTTTTGAAACACTCACGCTTCTATTTTTCGGAAATGACATTTTACTTAGAATAAAAAGATGGACGTATTCGAGTATCTCTTCGAATTGAAGCAGAACAAAGTTTATACTCACAAACAATACAAATACATTGACAGAATAGTTCTTTATACAAACAATGGTAAATGTTATAGAATAGCAGTCTTTGCTGAACCAAAATATTTCCATAAAGCAAAGAAAGTTGGTATAACTGAAATGGTGAAAGTTCTTGAAGCAGACAAAAATATAACTTCAAAACTGACCGATATTACTAAAGGAAAGTTTATAATACAATATTATGTCAAAACTGGCGTACTGTCAATGTTTGACGGAGAGAAGTCAGTTCAAGAACAACTTACTGACCTGCTGCCAAAATCTGCTCGATGGAAGCTGTCGTTATGCCAATCTGAGGAGCCCCAGCAGGTTTCATCGAACGAATCTTCAAAAGAGCATCTTCCGTGAAAAGTGCTATTGGTTTTGTAAACTTCTTTGCTCTCAGTTCATCTGGACCGTCTCTGTCACCAGTATATTGTATTTGTACAGTACCAACAGTTGAAATACCACCCATAAAGTCTTCTGAGTCAGCAAATGGAATGCCAAGCCAAAAGTTTGAACGGTCTCCATTTGTATATTGAGTTTTTTGACCTCCTGTATGAGTCCATACTTTCACATATGGCATAATAGAACTTTGCATTTCAGGGTTAATGGTCGTTGTGAAGTTGTTGTTAAAGTTCATAGCATCTAATGTCAAGTTGTATGACCTCATATCCTCAACTGTAGAATATTCTTCTCTTGGATAATATTTGCCATCTATGTTTATATGATATTTAATACCGGGGTTGTAGAAACAAGAATAGTCATTTATAGTTCGTCTGAACAGTACAAACATAGTATCTGCATGTTTCATTGCAGTTGTTAAAGCAATATCTGTTCTTGCACCTGGGTCAGCACTTTGGTTTCCAACTTCACCTGCAAAGTCTTTGACAGATATTTGGTGTATAGGGAACATAAGTGGAACTGCAATATATTTGGCAGCTAAAGCATTTGAAATATCTGGGTCCAACATATAGACTGCAAGTCTGCTTTCTATTCTCTTGCATTCAAATTTTTCGCATGTGAACTTAACTGGGTCCCAAGCAGTTCCAGCAGCATTGAAATAATAGTTTACTTCATTGTTGAAGTTTGAGAAACCAAAGTCTAAGTCAACTTTGTCTTTGCAAAATTCGGCGAATGACGTTTGATTTGTTCCCTTACGTCTGTAATAGTGAATGGGTCTTGTGTTGGTGCAATTGACTAATATTTTTGCTTGGAGTAAGTTCGATAGAAATTTTTCCTGCCCAGTTTGGCAAGTATCTTAAAACCCTGAAGATGAGGAAAGATGACAAAGGAACTCTAAGTTTCAGTTTTACTTTGGTTACTGCTGCTGCAGTTTGTCCAGAAAGGTTAACATAAACTCCTGGAACGTTAGGGTCAAGTCTTCTTATTTTCTCAATATTTGCATACTGGTCTGTTTGTTCTCTAGCTTGTGGTTGTACTGAGTTTCTCAAAGCGAACCATTCATAGTTTTGCCCATGTTACTGTTTGAACTAAGTCAGAGTTAGAATATATCTTATATCCCATGAAAACTTCTGGAGCATATTGGTATCCGACATAGAAAATTCCATTGCAACCTTTCTTGTCAGACAACTTGGCAGAAGGTTTTATTTCAATGTCTTGTTCCACGTATAAGAATGAGTTGTCAATAGAAATAATATGAAACCTGTCGCAAGCAATATCTACTGTTGTTGAAGAACCTTCTCCAAACTCACCTACGTTTCCATAAGAAACAGCAGTTGTATATTCGTAAGTTCCAGGAACTATTTCTGACCTTCTAATGGCATTGTCGCATTCGTTATACATTCGGAAACATTTCCGTTCATGGCATCCAAAACTGTTGGCGTTATATTCTGAGCGGCGTACATTTCATATGGGTAAAAATATAGAATAGTTGGATTTATGTGTCATAATAGAACCCACTCGTACCAAGCTTTACTTTCTTCCTGACTGAGTTTTTAACTCTTCTTTTTCCTTCATTGCCACTACTTTCACTAGATGAAGTTACTTCTTCACTATTTTCACTTTGTTCTACTCTTCTTCTTTGGTGTCGCTTTTGGTAACTTGCCCTCTGCTTCAAGTTGTTGCATCTTTGCCTCATGTTCACCTAGTATGTTGTAAATTTCCCATGTCCTTTTTGCCTTTGGGCTCTGGTCGCCCATCTCAGGTAACCAATATCCTAGAAAGATTTTGTCATAGTTTGTATTTGAGTCTTCGCGTATTGTTTGCATGACTCTTTCCTGAGTTTCCGGTTCAAGCTCTTCAAATATAGCTTGTCCATATGGAATATGCTCGTTTCCAAATATATGTTTTTGTAGCCATTCTGGTTTTCTTTCCATGTTACCAATAATATCTTTTGTGAATGGGAAAGCTTTTACCCAATGTTTCAGTCTTGCGTCATTTATTTCTGTAGTTGGTTTTATTTTGTCAAGGAACATGTTTTTCAATACTAACATTTCATTTGGTACTGTCCCATTTGAGTTTTCTTTAAATATTCATCCCTTCTCAGTTCATTGTCTGCAAAGTAGTTTTTATGACATTTTGTAAACTTTCGTTTGCAAGGTCATGTACAATAGGTTCTCTTCCTTCTATCTCCCTAACTTTCTTTCTAAACTCTTCACCAAATATACCATCTCTATGGTTCTGTGTAGTTCTTTGAGATAAATGTTCTAGAACGTC